AGAGGCTGAGAAGGAAAGATGGTCAGACAGGGGGACCTGAGAAGGCCTGGGATGGAGGTTGAGCAGAGGAGTTGACTTGAGAGGACGGGCCGGGGGACCTGGCCAGGAGGGAAGCCACAGCCAGAAGGATGTACTGAGGGACAGCGAAGGAAGATGAGGGGACAGAGGGGATGGAGCTCCCCTGCCAGGCCCTCGGCCCCCGAGAACAGGCAAGGCCAGGCTGTGATCCGGACAAACGGTGGACCTGTTTTCCTGTTGAGACCCAGAACACTTCCCGAAACAGACGGGATCAAACTTGCTGAGACGTCCCCCTCCCAGCCCGCCCCTCTTGCCCAGCCTTTGCTGCAAGTTCTTGCCGAGCCTGGGTTTCCTTAGCCCAAGAGGCCCGAGCTCTCAGAAATGCGGGCCACAGAGACGCGGGCGAAGCAGGCCTCCCTCGGCGCCTATGCTGGGCTCGGACAGGGGCTGAAGCTGCCCAGGTCCCGTCAGGTGGGACGTAGCCTGGGGTGTGGGTGTTGGGGGGGGTGTTGAGATCTGGCTGTGCTGAAGGGGGGTGTTCCCCGTTGATCGGTGCAAAGCCTAACAGGTTCAAGGTAAGTAGGGAAGGCGCACAGGCCCATCGTGGGTGCGTGTGCCCATGTGCATAAGAACTGACGTCCTCTTACTAGTATGTGTGTGGGACCCCGAAAGTCAGTAGAGTTGGGGTCCTCAGAGGCCACGGAATCCAACAGCCCGCCCCAGGCACAACCTGTTCTCTTCAGTCACCCTCTTTCGAGGGCTCTGGGGACCAACAAACCCTTCAAAGGAAGCGCTCCCACCATGTGCTGGGCACTGGCGACAGAGCGATAAAATAAAACGGTCTGTAAAACAGTCTCGGGTCAGGTCGAACGGTGCTTTGGTCCCAGCGGGAGGACAGGCAAGGTCAACAAACAAACAGAGAATTCAAGGCAGGACAGGGTAAGTGCGAGGGAGAAAAGCCATCCATTTCCCTGCCCCAGTCGCAGCCCTGCAGCCCCGCAGCGATTGGAAAACAGCCACATGTACAGCCTTCTCTCTGCCAGACACTCCTCCCCGCCCCCCCAGCTCCTGCAACCATTCTGCATGAGATTGGTGACCATCTAAAGGGAGGCCCGTGCCCCGTGGCCGTGGTCAGGCTGGGAAACACCCCACGGGACCCCCAGAGCCCGAGCTCGGTGCCCAGTGGCTGTGGGTTCCCATGAGCACAGCGGGCTCTGCGCCTCCATCCTTGGCAGCCTCTCCTCACTCCTGACTCACCCTCAGCCCCAGGCAGTGAGGAGCCCCGAGCCTTCCTCCCGAACCGCTGCTGAGCCCGGCCCCCTCCTTGTCTTAAACCCAAGTGCCAGGATTTGTGCTCATCCTGGTGGTTTCACCGGCAGGAGGCCAAGGATCCCCCAGCCTCTCCCGGCTCCGGCTCCGGTGGCAGTCTGAGCCTCCTGCCTTCTGGGCAGAGCTGGGCACAGCCCCTCCCACGGTCAGAGGCACCTCCTGCCAGGTGGCCCTGCTCCTCCCCGGGGACTGGGGGTGTGTGGTCGCTCTCGGAGCCACAGAGCCTGGGGACATGGACACGAAGCCTGGTGGTCGGGGTCAGCCACGCGGTGCCTGAGACAGACCCTGCTCAGGCGGTTAGCCTGGTGACCGATTTTGAAATTGGTTTGAAGGGTCACATGTCAGCCGTTCCCACACCTAGATGACCAGGGGAATCCGTGTGCGGACTTTTAAAGAAACGCGTTCCCATGCCTTGGCCGGTTTGGCTCAGTGGATAGAGCGTCGGCCTGCGGACTGGTTTCATAGACCTATTGATGAGTCGGGCAGCATCCCATCTAGCAGAGAGAAGGAGGGTTCTAACCAAGAGTGGATGGTTTGTGTCAAGGTCACCTTCCTTCAGGGGATGACAGCAGTTTACCTCGTTAGAGCTGACCAGGTCATTCCAAACTGACCGGTTTAAGATGCCACTCCTGGGAGAGGCTGAAACTGTAATTAAATTAGGTATTAAGTGTTGTTTCTCTGTCTTGTGGGTTTAGCCCAAGGGACTCCATGGTGAGCCTGTGGTCTCTTTTTTAACAAGGCCAATGGGTGTGTAAGAATATAGAGCTGTAATAAATACAGAAAACTAAGCAAGAGGAGAGGGTAAGGGCCCGGGAAAAATAAAAACTCTATAAGAAAGTAAACAAGGCTATTATCCTGCTTGGATTAGTGGTGAACAATATTTACATGATTATCATGATATAAAGCAGAGCATATGGATTCCACAAAAATATTGGGAGAAGAAAACGACCCTCAGGGGAGTCTGTAAAAGGCAAATCTTCATCTACACAACAGGCAGTCAGCGCATAATGTGCAAACGGATTAATCAGGAGGCAGCAGGATGAGCAAGTTCCTTAGAAATGGGGAGGGCACCCCCAGCAGGAACGCCTGAAGCCCAGTCTCCTCTGAGCTGGGGGCGGGGGTTGGGAGGGACCCCTACTGTGTTTTGTTTTTTAATCTTAGCGTTATTTGACCTTTTTGACTATCTGTAAACACTTAGTTGATTTTTAAAAATGTTATGAAAACATAAAGAAATCTATACTGAGAAACACATCCCCTTGTTCCTTCTCGTTTCATAGTTTTTTAGCATCTGGAGAACCCACCCCCTTTACTCCCAGCCACGGACACGGACACTCTCACCAGGACACACACACACCCTCATGCTAGACACCAAGAGCTCATGGTGACAGACAACCAGGAACATGTACATCATCACCAAACCCTCAGACACGCAGGCAAACACACTCCCGCCAGCGCGCGCACATGAATACACACTCACCCACACATATGCAGAGCCCGCCCTCCCCGCCCCCCCTGCCCGAAAGCCAGCTGCAGGACAGCACTGCCTCCTGGCCTGGACCCCCGACCTCCTGCAGCCCCACCCCCGGAACTGCCCCAGGCAGAGGCGGGTCCCTCCTGGGACTTCACCCCATTGCTTCCTCTGCTGAGTTCCCTGCCACGAGGCTGAGCAGCCACGAACCCTTTGGGGACACTCGGTGGGCAGATGGCACGGAGATGAGGTCGGGGAAGGGCCAGGCTGGCAGCTGGATCAGCTAGGAAGCCCCCTTCATCCAGCCTTTGCTGGAGGCCCTAAGCAGTGGAAGAGTCCAGCGCGTCAGGACACGCTGTGCGTCCTGGAGCAGATCACCTACCGCTCTGGGTCCACGAGGAAGTAGCAGCCTCTGTAACTCTTGAGATGCCAAGATGTCATGACCCACATGACCCAGGCTGGGCCCTGCTTCCGTCCCCTCTAGGTCCCTAGCTTCACACTGGCCTCCAGGGCCAACACCAAAGAACAGTGTTTCTAACAAGTGTACACGGCCACGTGGAGGGCCCCCACCGCCCCGTTCCCCCCCTCCCCCCCACGTT